CGACCTGGTGTTTATCAAAAAAAGCCACAGAAGCCACAGAAACGTTTGATAGAGCGACCTGGTGTTAATTAAAAAAAGCCACAGAAAATTTTGATCGTTCCAACGACCAGGTTTTCACTTTTGTTGTCACGGAGCCCGGCTCCACCGTACTAAATTCACAACAACAAGCACACATCCCCTACCGCCGCCGCTGACAGCCCAGGAACAAAGTGTGACTGATGCGCAATTAAAAAAGTCCCACGCTAAAAACTAAAATGTTCTAGGAAACAAGAGCTGACCCAAACTGTCTTTAAAGTCACGCCCTGCTGCTCGGTCACCATCTTGCCTCATTATATTAAGCCCTGCGAGGTCTGCTATTGTTTTGTTCTTTTGTTTGTCTGTTGGCAGCAAGACCTAAATGACAGCATTGTTCCCAATTCTTGTTAACAACATGAAAGATAGAAACCAACTTTAAAAGAAGTACACGAAAAGTTGTTGCGAACCTGCGTCCTGGATCAATGATCAAATATCCAGATCACTCCTTGAATCTAAATGATAGATTCTGTGCAAATTAGGAGCTTAGTGGATTTATGTGAACGTCGGGTCTTCTGCATGGATCAAAGGGCTTCTCCCTATATTGCTTGGAGTCTATAAACTGCACATTTTACAACTTTACAATTACTATTTTTGCTTACTGCCCATTTCTTCTGCATAATTTCCCGATATGCGAAATAACCCGAGATAACGTCATTCCCCCCAACGTTTTACTGCCAAGAACTGTCTGTTTTCACACTCACTCACATACACGCCAGACTTATGCATCTAAATAGTCCCATCCAGTTTGCGCTGCAGCTCTGTCTTGTTCTTTTGTTTTTGGCGAAGATGACAGGCGCGAATGAGCAAATAGAAAGATTAGCGGCTCGGCAGAAGTGACAGGTGACAGCTTACCTTCAGAGGAGCGGGAGGCACGTCGCAGCTTGAAACAGGCGCTCTTTGAATGTTTAATGGGGCATTGGTCTCGCGTCAATAATATCCAGCTCTTGTCTGCTATTGGATTCCATAACAGCCAAATTTGACTGGCATGTGTAGCCCGTTGAAGAAACCACCTTTGAACGAAGGTAAACGCCAACAACACTTTAATATCAAGGAATGTGGCAATAACAGCGTACCCATTATATCATTGATCAAGTACTAATGGTCCAACACTAACTGCCTTTCTTTCCCCATGCCTGCATAATGTCTGGATACTTGACAAATATGCATAGAATTGGTTCAATAGCTCTCTGCCCCTGCCAATATAGTCTATATGCGATCTCATTTAATGGGCTCTCTAGTGGTGTATTTAATTGTTAATGGCAGCTACTGTGTGGACAAAATCCAAGTCTACCAAATTACACTGAAATAGCTGCAGGCAGTGTAGTTGTAGGGTTGTGGTACGACATAACCTTTCACTACATTTAAATGGTGCACAATGTGACGGTTCTCTTTTATGAGTTTGCCTCTACGCAGATCACCTGATTGGCCTAGCAAAAAGTAGATATTTTATAGGAAAAGCAGTCATACCTTCTCAGACAGAAACTATATATTTTTTCAGGTTGACTCGCTTAAGTGTTGCTTCTAAACCAGAATACCTAACTTTGAATGCATGAGTTTTGCCCGACTTCACATCATCAGCTCTCAGTTTGTAAAAGACAAAACTGTATAAGTTAAAGACAGAATGTTGTCAAAATGTTAGTTTAGCAAGACTCTTTCTGTTGGCACACACAAACTATTTTAAATGTTATACCTTGTGCATGCTGATATTTATTATGTCTTACTCTATTCTTTACCTCTCTTTTCTGACTGTTGCACTGAGCCAATGCAATTTCCTTGTCTGTTTATCTACATGGCAATACAAATGATTCTGATTCTGATTCTGAAACTGTATTTCTGAAGCAAAACCAATAGCTTTAACGTCCGCCTTGCATACAGTGCACCTTTTTCCGACGCGACATTTGGTTGGTCTCTGGAACAGAAGAAAACAGTTCACATTTACGTCGCTCTCAGAATGTAAAGTAGCTGTGGTTGGGTAATGAATCTACTTGCACATTCAGCGGGAGTCGCGAACGAGGTGTGACTTGTGTTCTGACAGACCGCTGTGCTCTGATCCATGCCTTGCCCTTATCTAACATCGCTTCCAGCTCGTCACATTGTTTCTCAAGTATCGGTGGCACAAAAAAAGAAAAAACCTCTCACTTACAGTCTGCAATGTAAAAACTAAACAACAACCAACATCCTGTAGCCAGTTTGATTTCCTGTGAGGCTGACCCCGATTCACCCAACTGTTGCCACCGTTGCTGGTGTCAAAGAAGAAACATTGTGAAACTGATAGGCCTCAAACTGCTGTGAGGCTGAGACAAGTGGAAAAAAAAAGGCCACGAAAAGTCGGGCTTCAAAGCACACTACATTTCCTCACCGTGTTTCACAGATAAACACTCTGCCACCAAGAAGATGGAAAAGATGGAGATGTGTTCATTGCGCCTGAAAAAGTAATGGAGCATACTGTTTATTCACAACGAGAGGGAATTTCTGCATGGAATGGGTTGTTAGTCAACTGTACTAGAGAGAATTTATGTCATGTCTGCATCAACCAGGCCTGGGGCTAGAGTCCATGTGCATTTCACTCAGATGGCATAGATGGGAGGTTAGGCATAATGACATGGAGAAAGTAATCCAGTCGCTCCCTGAATTGTTTCTATTTGAAATGTAACATACATCATTGTACAGTATGCATATATGGAAACAATAAAAGCAAAACAAATAAAAAATAAAATACAGTTAAAAGGGGGCTATTTGTGCAACTGCATTTAATTTTTCCAACAGTAAATCTAATTCAAGTCATTGAAGTACTTTCCTCCTCATAGACCTTCGCAGCCCCTCTGCTTTGACAAGGGCACTCCAGTAAAACTACCACACATCACAACGCTCCTTTCTGGTTTTACTGTTTTGAAACGGACACTTGAAGGAATGTTTGACTTGCAGTTTGTGACCACTGTGTGAAGAAAGCACTTGTAGCCGATCGATACTGTTTCTCTTATCATAAGACACTCTACCAGGGAGAGCAGAGATGGGCAGCCATGATGGCGCTGAACCCTGGAGGAGACATATTCATATCACGAGCCGATGTTTAACTTGCTGTCCCCCTCGACTTCAGCCTACAGGACAAGGAAATGAGCTGCGACTTCCCCATGCGCCACCACTGAGTGTCCTAGTTAGAGCCCTTTAATATTAATGGCTGGTAGAAAGGTGTTGCGACAAAACGATGCTCGAAGTGTTTAAGCAGCTGATGCAGTGTTCTTAACCCACTGGGAGCCTAGTGGGCCGTGACTGGTTCCTGGAAGGAACCCAGACGCAATAATAAGAATCTACGGTGTAGGAGCAGCCGACCTGAAGAGGCTGTCCTCACCCTCCCCACTGCTCCATTTGCTGCTCTGTGTGATTTGGTGATTTGCCAACAAAGTGGCGCACAGAGCCGCTGCACAGATAGCCCGTGTGTGCTGTGTGTTTGAATGTGATATGCTCATTCATGTCTGATTGATCCGTTCTTTTCTCCCCTCACGACATGCGCTGCAATAACTCGCTTTGCATGAAATGACTGTGTGGACGTCCTGCAGTGCGGCTCTCTACCCCTTTGAAAGTTTTACCTGCTGCAGCCCACAACTGAAAAGAAATGTTCCACAACACTCCCCAGTTAACAGTGCTGAGGCCTGTAATTAGTCACCGCCATCTTTGGACTCCTACTGGTTTTGTTAGACTTGTTGTTGTTGCCTCTCTTGGCTTCACACACACACACAACCACTCAAAAGACCACTAACAACTCATTTTTGCAAAGAGAAAAATACTTTTTCTTAAGCCCACAGCTTCCCAAAAACATCACAACAATTATATGTTTTAATATTTTGTTTGTTTTGTTTCCATTTTTCTATAAAATAAATTGTTCCTTCAGTTTCCGCAGACAGTTGCTCACTGCTCAGAGGTTCAGGCTGGTTTAATGTAATCTCCGTGACAGCAGCTCCTTGTAAAGATAAAGTGAAGCATAGGAGCAGAAAGGTCACCATGTCTGTCAAAGCGAGACAGATTTTTATAGCACATTGATATTTTTCTAAGGTGTCTAGTGTTCGCTCAATATAGTTTTTTTTTTCTTTGGATGTTTTGGTATTTGTCTTTAATAATTACAATTAGTGGTCCTAATAATACATTGTTGTGCTGTTTTTTGGCAATATAGTGCACCTTCGGTTTTAGGATTTAAAACGATGAGGAGCGCAGCATTGTACATACATATTATATTTGTACAAATAATTTTCAAAACTAGGGGCGGGCAACATCTCTTCTTCCAACTTACTCAAGACACTGTGTGGATACTTCACTCTTTTGAAACTGTTTGAACCATAAGGAAGCCTCAGCCAAAATGTATTGTCTATCCTTTAGAAATAGCTGTGTTGTACTCATTACCTTTTAAATGAATAAAGAAAACATACCTTGGATTGTATTGTTTTTTCCTGTTGCTCCTCTTCCTTGAGCATTGTTTTCATATTATCCACAAAAAGAATTATCCATTTATTATTTTCCATGTACAAATATCAAAATATCATACGTTATCCAAGTAGATTCTCAAGGTGCAAAACCAAAGCATTACCCTGGTCTTAATGCAGGGATTTTCAACCAGTGTGCCTTGATATGTATATTTATGTTCTTTGGAAATGATCCAATATCACCTGCTTGGTCAGAATCATGTGAAAAGAAAAGAACATGAGATGATTGGAATTTTTGTTTATGCCTGTAGGATTATACACATTCTGTGTTAATAAAGGCTGTAGAGTTTCTGTTTTGTATCAAATTCTGTTGGTGGTGTGCTATGTGATATGCTTTTGCAATGACAAAGGTGTACCACGGCTCAAAAAGATTGGGAAACACTGACTTAATGTACTTCTGTGTGTGTGTGTGTGTGTGTGTGTGTGTGTGTGTGTGTGCGTGCTTGCCAGTGCCCGGACTCGGCCTGTAAGCAGGACCTGCTGGCCTACCTGCAGAGGATCGCTCTGTACTGCCATCAGCTCAACATCTGCAGCAAAGTGAAGGCCGAGGTGCAGAACTTGGGAGGAGAGCTGATTGTGTCCGGGGTGAGTCTCCAGTCGTCCTGTCACACCGTGTTCTCTGTGGGTGGGAGAACTATGGCCGGAGGTTACGCTGAGCCCCGCACAGTTTAAGAAAGGCCAGATGCAGATTATCGTCTCTACACTACACAGACTGGAAAGTGTCTGATAATACCAGATGGATTATATACTGTCTGCACCTGATGAAGCCAACCTCACACATCTCTTGGCTCTTGTCATTCTTCTCAACTTGGCATTTGTATTTTCCCTCAGCTGATATGGTATGCAGCCTTCCTCTTTTTCTTTATTCATTAAGATGAATAAATCACACACTAAAATATCAATTTGGTTATTCGAAAGCCAAAATCCAACACTGATATTTTGGTTCATTTTTGCATGAACTAAAATATCAGTTTTCTCACATTGGACTTGCCTCTCTGCTTTACAATTAGAGAAAAGATTCTTAATCCACAATTCCACAATTTGAGTATAATTATGTGGTTCCAATAGGTCCCTGTTATTCTGCTGGCAATGCACCATTTACAGTTTTAGCTTGCTTAAATTATGTATATAATTTCTTATTTACATGTCAGAAAAACAAAGCATAACAGACATAATGAATCACTAAATAAAGAATTATATATCCTTGAAATACATACACACCAATTAAAGAAATACAAAATAATATGCAGATCTGTCTGATGTAATTAAATCATTTATGAGTTTTCCCCTAACACTTGTAGTGTATTTAACAAGCGTAGTCCATGTATAATAAGTTCAAATGCTACATTTTATACTTGAATAAAAAGGTTAAAACCGCAGGCTTTCCACATTTGTGACCAGCTCTAAAGGTAAAAATAATAAGTGCGCTAAATTAAAAACTGTCTGCTGGTGAACGCTAATTACATCCCTTTTTATGTAAGACATGGCATGAAGCTTGTGTTGGCAGGGGGGAAATGAAGGGCAATCTGAGGCAGGCGGAATGCTGCAGCAGTCTCCTGTCTTCAATACCAGCAAAAATGAGGTGCCATTATGTTGTCATGGAATTGTGGAAGCCAAATTAGAATGCCAACAAACCCTGGCCAAACCTAAACGTGAGAGAGTAACCCAGGAATCACACATTCTTTAGTTAGCGCAGGAGGACATTTTCAATTGCTGTTTGTTCGCATTGAAATGTTGTAAAGGACGTCATTTGGATTAATTGGACCAGAAATCCAATTTATGAAAATGTGCACTCAGTCACCAGTTTCAGCTTTGATTTGTCTGTAATTATACGTCCACATGAATAGTAATAATAATGCTGCATCAGTTTTATTTTGCACTTTTATAAACACTCTAAGAAACTTCAAATGTCAATCTCTCCTTATGCATATGATAAACTACTGTAGCCACAGCAGCAGAGTGACGGAAGTGAAGCAACCAGTATGTTCCATTGGCCCCTCTGACCACCACCAGCCATTCACTCACACACAGACTCATTCTATGTGTAATGGCCGGGTTACAGTTAATACCTCCAATTAATGATTTTAACCACTGATTCTTTAACCATAGCAACGCCACCCTATATTTTAATAGGGAAACTCACAAGGACGCGCACGTCCGTGATTGAGTGGACCAAGAGACACAGATAAGAAAATGATTCAATTTATTCACATTAACATTAGAGATACACTTTTACAAAAACAAGGTTTTGGTTCTTTTAAAATGAGCTCTACACAATTATTTAATTAATAACATTAGTGAAAGATTAAAACATTATCCCAAAACGTTATCACATTATCCCAAAATACATAAAACATTATTCAAAACATCATCCCCAAATGCCAACTCCCACCGTCTACTGTCCTACCGGAGGCTCGCGCTGGTCCGCACAGTGACTGGCCTGGTGCGCGCGTTAGCGCGCACGCTGGTATAGCTCGGCAGCTGTCCGGTCCGTCCGAGTCCCAGTCCCGTCCAAGTCCTAGTCCAGTCCGGGTCAAGTCAACCGTTGAGAGGACAGGGGCCCGCGGACTGGGTGCACTCTGGCCAGTACCAGCCGCTGGCTCAAATGGGAGAGAAGAGGAGCGGATGAAGAGGGTGAAGGAGAGACCCGCTTGGAATACGGTCCTAAAAGTTAGAAATTTCTGTGATTAAATCCTGCATTGGGGTGGAAACATGCAGCATTCCAAGAAACCATATTTCCCAGGCACTTACCCAAATTAAAATGCTTCAGTGGCACCGTGCTGCAACTTACAGACCATTGGAATGGTTTGACCCGAAGCCAAACTAAAGAGTAATAAATAGAGTAAATAATTAAATAAATCCGATGAAATAATTAACAGAGGAAGGCCTTACCGGAGTTGAGCACAGCCACAGTGCCACAGGCTGGTGCACCTGTTGTGCGTAAGCACTTGCCTGACGCTGCGCACTGTAACCAGCGCTAGTTAGAAAAGTTGATATTGTGCGCACAGGGCAGCTTACCGGGGCTGTTTGGTGGAGTAGCCTGCAGTATGAGCCACGAGATTAGAGCCAAGCCATACGTTGCACTGTGTAATGCGAACTAGGGAAATGGAGCATTTTAGTCCACCACAGTACCACTTTATTGAATAAACGCAAATAGTCACTGAAGAGCAAGTGATGCTGGATTCAATTGCGAAATACAGCTCATGCTGCTGCAAGCTCACAGGCAGTGGGTGACGTCAGAGGCAAGAAGGAGCGCAGGTGCGCTAACTACCTATTAAAGGCTGAGGCGGTACACGATAGGCTACCAGCGGCTCAAGGGGCCTACCACCACATATGTAATGTGGGTGAAGTGTCTTGCCAAAGGACATAGCAACAGTTTAGCACTTTACAGCCACAGACGCCCACTGTGGCACACGGTGTTCTCAGAGGTCTCCCATCCCAGTACTAAACAGACCCTGTTCTGCTTAGCCCTCAGAGGTCTGACGAGTCGCCTTGAGTTGGACCACTGAATTATAGATTTTTGAACAGCAGATTAGAAAAACCCATATACACCCAATAAAATGCAAACAGATCGTTGGTCCATAGGATAATGGGTTCAGTAATGTTCCTAAATGTTTCAAAATGAGATTAGACTATCAGCGCAGCAGCAGCAGTCTCTGTGTGCCTTTGATTTTGCTTGCATGTGTTTCTGATGATGGCTTGAGGAAGATATGGAGGGCCTGCTGAGATTTTAACCTTTTCATGCTGGCCAGCTGGAGTCCGTGCTCATTAAGCCTAAGCAGTTGACTCTCCTTGGTTTGCATTCATCAAAAAAGTACCATCCGCTGACCCTTAAATGCCAGGCAGGCTAAACGGAGAAACACCTGAACCCTGCCTCCTCTAATGAAGCCGTGAACCATTAGACGTCCATTTGATCACGTCTTGTTAACATTCGCAACGCTGAGGCTTTTTGAACGTCTTTAAATAAACAACATCATTTCTACAATGTCATTAGTTGTACTCCCGTCACATAGAAAAATGTTTTTTTTTTTCCTGTGCTCCTTTACGTGATGGTCCATGACATTATGTGTTATTAGAACGCATCCTCGAGCAACAGCGCTAAGAGCTTAGTCATGACATGCCATTATGACTTTATAATTTTAGCAAGAAGACCCGAATCGGCCTTTTCACTAAATGTCAGGAAGGAGCTACAGACCTTTTGAAGGATATCAAGAGTCATTCAGGGTCTCGCTAAAATTTACCACAGGAAGCGTCCAACCAATACAAATAGTACAAATAGTTTTGTGCAGTCTGGTACATTCGATTATGTACTTCTCTGATTCCTGTTTCTGCCCAGAAGTTGATTGTATAAAGCTGTTTTTTTTCACCCAAATTAAACATAATTAACATAAGTTCCATGCATGAAACCACATATGTTTTAAAATATTTTATTTTAAGGCCTTCAAATCTGAACATTATGTTAGGTAAATATGAATAATACAAATATTTAAGACTGCAAGATGTGATGACAGCCCACGCCGCTCCTTGTGTCCTCCCTCCAGGCGCCTGTATCAGACCCTGAGGCACTTTCTTCCTCTCAAACCAGCTCCCTGTCCTCTCAAGGAATTTTTGTTTGTTTTGGATCATACGTTTTACTCTGCGCTGATCAGAGTATGTTTACATCTGAGGTGGTTAATTTTTATGCTATTTAGGTTTTTAAGTTATGATTTTCTAGGGGGCTACAGAGTCAGCGGGCATTGTGCGGAGACATTCATTTTATAAACAATAATAATAATGATATGAAACTGGTAAAAAACAATAGCCCTATCCACTTGATGGTATTAGCTCAAGCTAATCTTACATTATTTTTACGTAGCATTTTTTGGACATTTTGGACATTCACACACATCAAACTCCTTCTTGGCAATATGAAGAGCCCTCCCTAAGAACAGAACCACAGTTTGACACTTTACAGGTGCAGATTTTCCCACTGTGGCACCTGGTGAGAGGTCTCCCATCACAGTACAAACTAGGCCCTGCTAAGCTTTTGAGATTTTTGTGGGTTTCACCATTTGTGTTTGTGTTATATTGGAGAAAAAAAATATCTGCCAGACATGTCACTGCAGTCAGATTGCTTATGCTGTTTGTTTGTTAATTCACTGGCAATTTTTTTTAATCCCAATCTGGATTATCATTCCAATCTCCGCTAACACACGCATTGCTTTTTGTCCCCGTAGCTGGACAGCGCCACATCCCTGATCCAAGCCGCCAAGAACCTCATGAACGCCGTGGTCCTGACCGTCAAGGCGTCCTACGTGGCCTCCACCAAATACCAAAAGGTGTACGGGACGGCCGCGGTCAACTCGCCCGTGGTCTCGTGGCGCATGAAAGCCCCGGAGAAGAAGCCGCTGGTGAAGAGGGAGAAGCCCGAAGAATGCCAAACCCGCGTGCGAAGGGGCTCGCAGAAGAAACACATCTCCCCCGTCCAGGCGCTCAGCGAATTCAAGGCCATGGACTCCTTCTAAAAAAGAAGATATTTAAAAAAGGCGAGAGAAAAAAAAAGAAATTTCCCAACATGGTGGCGTGTTGGAGTCTTTCTACATTGTGTTAACCCACTTCTGTTTGCTCAGCGTTTGACCCGCTACACCTCTGAAGGACTAATATTGCCACTTAACAGAGGCGGCCAACGTGTATACACAACACACTATTTATCTTATCGTAGCTTAATATGTGCAAGCCAAAATGTGACACAACACGTATGAAAAAGAACACAAAAAAATGAAACCAAACATATCAAAGAGGATGCACCGAGAGTGGAATCCTCAATATGTTTGTGGAAGTTGATCATTTTAGCTCTGATACTGGTTGCTTGTATACACATGTAAAGTGAATGGACTTGACTGGTGCAGTAGTGGCTTTAATGGGAGACCGTGGTTTGCTCCCGTTTTCGACTTTTCAAGTGAATTTGAATGTTAACCCGTAGTACTAGGAATAACTTATATATAACTTACCTGAAAGTGTTCCCCGTTTGATTATTATGAATACTAAATTATCCATGTGGTGTTTTTTATATGAAGCACACATATGGTCAAATGTATTGTTAATGTTTACAAACCCAGTTCCCAAAATTGTGACTGACTTAGATTGTAGAAACTTGAAATGGCAATTGTTGTGCTGATTTTTGACCGTTTGGCTGCTTTAGTTTTAACACCAGTTTAATTGTACAATACACACACATGTTTTGTAGCATATTTAACACGTCCAATACGTAAAACTAGGAAGAAAAAGACAGCCATTGCGTTCAAAGAATGGAAAAAATATTTCCCTTGATCATCTGTATATGTTATACTATTGTGAATGATAATACTTTTTTTTTTTTTGCACTTCTGTTTACATTGTCTGCACTGTTTTTGGAATTGGGCTTGTCAATAGAAGTATTTAATGGTTCCATCACTAATTTTGATGACTGAAAAAAGTGTAGCATTATAGCTCAGACGGAGATATTTGACTCGTTGTGATTTTGCTCGGCGTCTACACTTCTTGCATACAATTCCTTTTATTCACCCTACTCTAATAAAGCCTCGACTTGACCCTGAAATCCGATCCGTCTATTTTTTCCATTCCCACCTTGACAGCCTGTATCATTAGTTTACACATCCCATACTTTATAATTCCATCTCGTTCCATTGATCTTCGAAGATCTGATGAAATCGTTCAGAGATTGTATAATGAAAACGCAGCAGATGAATAGATTCCTGCGGAGAACAGAGAAAGTCTATTACGGCTAAAAGCTTACAAGTACCACAATATTGATTGGGGTTGTAGGTTTACTCCAAGTACTTCGCCGTGACCTGCCGTAATTGGTACGAGGTCAGCGCCGGTGTCTCTACTTGATCTTTCCATGCAAAAAAAAAACACTACATTTTTCCCACATAGCCCAAGTTTGTCTATAAAAGTTTCCTTCAGAGTTCGCCCATGTCTAAGCCCTGTATTGACCGGTGAAGTCCTTGTCAATCTTTCTTAAGCCCTGTGAGTCAGAGAGGCCGAGGGAAAACGGGGGGCATGACTACACAGCGGGGACCAGTGGGACAAGTATGAGACCTCAAACATCAATAGTCTGGAAGGTAAGAAAAGAAAGCGCTGAATGGTAAGTGGAACGGTTCGGATCAGTTTTCGAATCTGCCATCGAGAATCAAGAGCAGCCTCCTTCACAGCTCAAGATCGCATTGATTGTACTCATACTACACATTTGAGAGTGTTTTGGCCAAGAGCACCCGTGACCACTTGCTTTAACTGCCTGATTAAACAAGGCCATAAATATTTAGTTTTTAAAAATGTCTAAAATCACAGTGAAACCCAGCGAGGGATGCAATGATTCCCTCCATATTTTGATGGTAAAATGTCAAGGTATCGACATGGCTTTGTGGATAAAAGCAGAAGTTGAGATCACATATAGACTATTGGGTCGTAATAGTGTTTTTATGTGCTAAAAAGTGTCAATAACCAGCGGGATGAAGTAGTTTAATACAGGTTGTTGTTGTTGAGAGAGTGTTATGTGAATTGAGAAGTCGTGGGTGCGTGAGAGGGACAGCGCCTCAGGGTGATGCGGTGGTTTAACCTCACATCTTGAATCGCTCTTGAACTGCCCAATCTACTTTTAGATATCGCACCTATCGCACCTTCACTCTCTTCGCAGTTCCAAAAACAGATCCCAGCCAGATTGCATACTATTCTGGTAATACATCAGATGAAAACATAAATCCCCTCTGAGATGAGTTGTTGCATATCCTCACTAAAAGAAATGAAGTTAAATTTAATTGAAGTTAAGTAACAATACGCAACATTTGCCACATACTGTGGGGCACAGAAAAAGTATTTAGACACTAATTGTGCAAGTTCCTCCACTTAAAAATAAGAGAGATGCCTTAAGTTTACATTGTAGGTACAGTATATACTGTACCTATAACGTATCTGATTTTTAAAGAATATATTCTCTAAATATTTATTATCCATCATAATGTGATTTTCTGGATTATCTTTTATCATTTTGTCATATAGTTGAAGTATATCTATGATCAGAATCAGAATCAGAATGATGACAATTAAAGCACAATTACATCAAGAGGCTGATGTTTTGTGAGCTGCTTAACTGTTTAATCAAATCCCACACTCTAAGAGTGTTGTTATAATACAGATCTTTCAGTGCCAGAGTCGTCTTTTGGAAAACACAAGTGCACGTTAAAACATCCTTTGTGTTGTCTGTCATGGGCTCTCGATTCCCATATAGATGAAATGTAACTGCTTTCACTAGGCCTTCACAGAGGATATGTTTTCAGTGAAGCACACACTGCTTTGATATTTGTCCTAGTTTATGATTATACACAAATCACTATTTCAGAAGTAATTAATGGGTTGATTCAAGCTGGAGTATCAAACATCTTTTTTTTTCATAAATACATGTTGTGTATTCCAACAGAAAAAATACATTTAAGTGATTTTTTGGGAAAAAAATGAATACACAAAATGCAGTCTCAAAATGCGATCTTATTTTCAAGAAAATACTTACTGCAGAAATCAGCCGTGCGACCCCCTACGCACACACCTGCACAAATCTTTCCGCTCCAAAAGACCTGTGGTGTGTGAATGGGAGCTGGAATTCTCTTTTTCACTGAAAAAGCAGATCTAAAGATCTGTAAAGACCAGAGTTACACTCCAGCTATAAGGCAAGGCAAGTTTATTTGTATAGCACAATTCATACACAAGGCAACTCAAAGTGCTGAACAAAACAAGAAAGCATTCAAATCATAAATAATCACAGTATATATATATATAAAGTCTCCTTATTTGCCTAATTATGCCAATGTAGAAACTGGAAAATAAGGGGACAATGGTGCTGCACAGTTCATTCGTTGCATCAACATTTCACTTAAAAACACAACGGTCAAGACTGGTCCCTCAACTTCCAGATGTCGGACAGTTTCAGCGTGAGAAAATATATCAATAATCGTATCACCACACATCCATAATCCAGCTATGTTATGTTTATACATATTCTCCTCTTGTTAAGTACAAGCACATAGATAGAACAGTAACCTACTTTCTTGAAATTGCTGCTCCATTTACTTCTCAGACCCGTACAGTTTCCGCGGGCAAGTATCAATAGGCGGACACAGTAATGTGGAAAAATCCCTAATCAACGCCAATCCGACATGTTTAGTCTTCCTCCAGCTCTGGGTGATTGCACCGGATTAGCTTACTTTGGACGGCTCAGTGCTTTGCTTTTAGGCACCCCCCTCCCCCGGTCCCTCAGGTGCCGGTTTCACCCTATCCTGTTATGATCATTAAACTACACTACTGCCGATCAATTGATGGCTTTCCACGACCTTCATCTGCAGTGTATCAAATGGGAAGCATCGACAGCCATAATTGTCCCAATAAAGCAGCTCACGGGACGCTAGTTCAGATAATGTGGTGGTATAGTATGCGGTAATGAATAAAGCTGGTTATTTGGCCACATTGTTCCGTAAATGGTCATTAAACACAACATGCCTCAGCCACTCAGGCGTCACCAAAGTAGCCCCATGTTTAGGGAAGAGTGGCCCACGAGGGAGTGATTGTAATGCGTCCAGTTAATGGGGAGATTAATTCCGGTCGTAAGTACTGTCTAAAGCTAAAATAATCCCTATGTGTATCCAGGCACTATCCAAATAAAGTGTGACATGATGCCCGACAGCCTGATCCCCCTTTGAAAAAGAACAAGAAGCGTTATGAAGACATAACAGCAGAAGTGGCTGCAGTGTAGAGCACTAGTGCTTTGATTTCAAAGATCAGATATGGTGTATTAAATGTGAGCTTTAATCTTGTTAGACAAAGCTTCCCTGGAATGGCTACAGAAATTAAATGAATTAAAAGTTAAGTAACTAGAACACAAAGCAACCCTGTGTGGGACTTTTGGCCAGTGCTATAATTGTTCACAAAGGTGATGGAAAATGCTTTTTATCCACCACGGGTGAGTAGAGAAGCCAAAAGGTGTGAGATATTCATTATCAGCTTGTTAGTAGCTACTCACAGTGTGATGTTTATAATGTCCCATTCCTTTTTGCACGTCTTCATGTGCTGTTGGTCTGGGTGAGTGATATATGTGGACTGTAATACGTTTTAATGTAGTGATATATATATTTTATGAGATTGTGTATACGGCTCAAAGTGAATAGCACCATGGTCGATGAAAAGGAGACGTTATAATTCATCAAATGCATTGAATAGTTCCATGCTTTCACTCCTGTGCAGAGGAGAGAATTGTGCACCTTTGAAATAGGACACACTTTCAATTATCCATGTTTTGGTGGCTATCGTTTTAACAACAAACAAAATGAACCCAATCTGAAGTGCAGTGCTTCCCTGTGTGACCTGTGCAGTTGCGAACCTTTAGTTGTGAACAATTTTCTTAACAGGATGAGATTTCATTCAGCACTTCAGACTGGGTGCAGAGAAACCAAAGGACTTCAAATATAATGTCCTGCTC